TGCCACCGGTATCAGGCAGCCTTCCAGCCTTGTGGTTTCCTGCTCTAAAGAGAAAGACGGTCCGAATAGCTCCATCTCGCGAGTTAACTTTTCCCAATTATGTCCTGGGTTGTGTTTTTCTTTCTCAGGTGTAAATCGCTCAAATCCACGGTTTTAGTGGCGATTCCAGCCTCCGCAGTCCCGAGTGAAAGGGGGGGGACCAACACCGCGAGTCGTGGCTGAAGGAGCTCACGTCCAGTGTCAGGCTTCAAGTTCGTTTGTTTAGCCAGGTGAGAAGCCAAGAGGCCAGCGTGAGTCTCATTCGCAAAAGTTACCAACATGCCACCACTAGCAAATCGCGTTCAAAGAAGCACAGCAATGAAGCAAATATAAATTGGAGCAAAAACAAGCACGTTCGAGAAGATAAAAAAGCAGTGCTAAAAACCATATTCATTAGATAAATACATTTCCAGCAACGCGCACGTTGGATCAGGACAAATTCATTGTGAAAACCCCGCATCGTACAACACACGTACAGGAGGAGCATTGACGTAGATTCAGGGCGATCGTCGCACTCGTCTGTCCAAGCGACAATGGAGTGTGTCCGATACGACTGCCAGTGAAGGGATTGCAGAGAATTGTTCAGTTTAAACACACAAACACGTGCATTGCGTGTATAAAAAATACTAAAAATCCGTATGCATTATGCAAAGCGACCAAATAAAAAATAACTGCATTTGGGTGATCTTAATTCACCTTAAAAATTAGCAAATATGACTAACCGGCAGGCCAGCGGTGAGACAGAGACATTTGGCCACGTTTGGTCAAGTTGTTGATGCTCATTTAAAACAAGATGACCAACATGCAGTTCCTGAGTTGAATAAAGGCAGAACGTTCCCAGTACATCAATGGTATCTGCATACATTGGGAAAGTAGTTGCTACCAACTCAGTATCCGATCATTGAGTAATGCTGTTCATTATAATATTTTTCCTGCAAGATCCCTGGAGATGGGATATCTCATTTGCAAGGCTGTCCAGGGGTGTTGATTGGCACGTACACAGCAAACACAATGACGTGTTTACACACACACACGTATACACAACAGCCGCTATTCGCCAATAAGTGGCGGTGACGTCACCACAGCACTTGTGCCAGGCTAGGTGCATTTTCAGGCCACGTGGAAGTGTCGAAGGCTCGCTGACAAGAAGTCATGGAACATACCCAGATGCCATGGTGTGATTAACGGTGATGACTGGCAGATGCACCACCTGTGCTCCCAGCTGCGCCAATTTGCTCGATTTTTCCACCCGGCGCTCCGCTTGTTGCGAGCGTCGCTCCTCGGTCCTCCGCTGTTGTTGGAGGGCGACTGCCTCCAGCTGCTCAGAAGCGTCCTTCACGATGCTCCTCCACAGAGGCCAATTTTTACACCACTGATATCAATCTTCAACTGCATATCCTCATCTCTTATCTAGCCCGTGATGCGCCCGTTTAGCTCCCTCGATCCGGTAAAGCAGAAGCTACATGGGCATGCAGTGGCTGGGCATGCGGGCTACATGACCCTGCCAACGTAGCCTTGGCTGCCAGAGGAGCTCAATGATGGGACTGTGTCCAGATCGTGCAAGGATATGGATCGTAGGCAGGCCAGTCTGAATGTTTCAAAGCGGCAGAGATGTTCCATTAAAGAGGGACCCACATTTCACAAGCATAGAGAAGCGAGGGCATAACTGTGGAGTGACAGGCCAGGAAGCTTCCACACAGCAGCGTTAGGCAGCTATGAAAAGATGATGCCGCTCGACTGATTCGGAGTGAGACCTCAGCTGCCAAACCAGAGCTGGTCATCAGCACACTGCCCAGGTATGGAAATCTCGCCACTCCACACGTCCCATCACCCATGGGGAGTTGAGGGGCGGAGTGTTTCATGGCACAATATTCCCAGCAGGCGTCTAATTTTTGTGGTGATGATGGTAAAGTCCCATCTCTTAGTGACACACTCCAGGTGAAGCACGACGCCTCCATCTCAGAGTGAGCGGCAATCGCCAGATCATCAGAATACATAACATGGTTGAACGTTTCCGGGGTATCAGTTGTATCTGTGTCAGATGGAAAACTTTTCGAACTACGTGGTCAAAAAATATGTTAATTAATGTAGGCGCCAGAGGACATCCCTGTCGCACCCAATGTGAACAGGGGATGGTTCTGACTCCCGGCCCGCAGCTTTACTTGGGCCTGCTCACCATCTCGACGGTCCTTTATGATTGTGAGCAGAGTCAGGAACCCCAAAAACACGAAGAAAAACCCAGAGCCCAGGCCTATTGATGGTATCAAAGATCTTGACCAGGTCACTAAATAAGAGATGTAGGTCCCGTTAAACATCATACACCTCTGTTGTTGCAGACGGACAGAGAATATGGCATATCCGTATTATAACAAAGACATAGACCCCCCCCCCCCCATACAGCCTGAACAGACTGTTGGGACAAGTGTTGCGAGTGGGCACCTATGTAGGCCGGCATGGCACACGAGGGGGTAGGTGGCCAACACCAAGCCCGGCTGCCTTTGTCTCCCCAGTGGTGATGTTTAGACACCACACCAGATACTCATTTGAGGCTGAGTCACCCTAGGGAAGGCCCAGGACCGGTTCAGATAATCGTCACTGATGTTGGTGGTCGTAAGCAGGACTCGAACTCAGGTTCAGATCGCAGCGTGCATTACCGCTCCCCACATACCCGTATACATACAGATATACACACACAGATTAATATATACACACACTAATTATACAATCATACATACACACATGCATACAGATATACTATACATACGCGCACATACCCACGAGAATATACACGCACACACCCACTCACAAGGAATACATCAACAGATTCGTGGATAGCCAACTCGCACAGTCCCTCATACTCAAACGTACGAAAGGTGGTCCTGGCTGAGGCAACTCCATCGTCCATGCCAACACGAACAGTGTCGGGCACGAACACGGATCCCACTCCCTCCTCTCTTGTCTCCCCCTTCCCCTTATAGACCCTTCTCTTTCAATTTCCTGCGGGTTTCCCCCCAATCCCATATCCCTAATTTTCCAGACTTTCTTGCCAGCACAATCCTTCCCCCATCTCATTCATGTGCCCGGTCGCCTTGTCCTTTACATCACCCCGCACGCAACCATAACGTGCCCCAATGAACTTTACACACACACATTGTATGTAGCAAAGACGTGCACACTTATTCCCTCGTTATGTACGAAATTTGCCATCCGCGAATCACATCTGGAACATGACTGCTGCATCGAGAGAGAGATGAGAATGTGATGACAAAGTGATGAAAAAAAGTAATGGCATGTATTATTTATGTATTTATTTAAGGTAATGTATTTCAAATATAGGTTTCCTAAGCCAAGATAATTACACGTGTAATATGCTATTCTCTGGAACGTATCCCTTGCGCATAACGAGGGAATACTGTACACACATTCATACACACTTACACACATTCATACACATGCACACTTACACACACACACACAAAGACAAGGGCAAATACTGTATCGCCCTATCTTTGCCCTCCCCCATTGTGCAAGAGCGCAGCTGCGTGGTCACCACATCTACGCCTCTACAGTATATGAGGAACGAAACAGTAAGACTTCTCCACAAATCTGGCTGTCGCCTGATGAAGCTAGTTGTAATTACTGGCGAAACGTACTCAGATTGTAAATATTTTGGCTTGGCTCTCCAACACACCGGTTAGTGCTGTACTAGTGACGAATTGGCACATTCTGTTTACGTGACGACCCTTACGAGTTGGCTGTGTCGAGTGGTGGCGGGTTTTAACGACACATTTATATCTTGATTTGAAGCTTTCGTGACTGCAGGAATCCATACTCTTTGGTTCTTTCGGTAAAGTCACGTAGGTATAAAATAAAATTGATCACGACGTTTCGGGCGCAACACAAGAGTCCGTCATCAGGTGGGAAAGCATGGTCTGCTGCTGATGCAAACTGTTTTAAAAGGTTTGAAATGGGTGTAGCCCAAGGGTCATAAAGAAGTGGCTGGGAGATTAGCATGATGTTAAAGTGAGAAATTAGCATGTAACTGGGCACAGAAGTAGCTATGATAATGTGAGAGATTAGCATGATGTTAATGTAAGGAATTCGCATGTAACTGGGCACGAAAGTGGCTATGTTAATGTGAGAGATGAGCATGAAATAACAGCTGATATAGGCAGGTAGGATGGAACCATCACAGTCAGTTAAGACTTTACCTGGTTAATAACGTCCTTCCAATGATTGCTCAGATTGTACCCATCATCTCGGTTGAAGTTGTGTCTGTGTTTATATATCTGGATGCTTCATGAACAAATCTCTGAAGGTAGCCGCTCGGTTTGCAGAGTACCTCCGTCTTGGAAAATCAATTTCGTGTGAGTCCACAGCGTTAAAACAATGATCGGCAACGGCCGATGTATTGGTCCTACCGTGTTTCAGATCTGCCTTCTGTTCACGAACGCGGTCCGAGATACTGTATGTCGTTTCGTTTCCCCAATGTAACTGCTTCCACAACCACAACTCAGTTTGTAGACACCAGGGTACTGCATGGCAGGAATTACATCCTTTACAGATGGGATTAGATCACGGATTCTGTGTACTGTGTTGAAACGAACATGGATCCTGTTTGTTCAAGATTTTGGAAATATTTTGGTAACGACTGGTATGTATGGCAAAGTGATAGTTTTGGTTGGCTCCTCAGAAGGTTGTCTCTCCATGGCTGGGGAGGCAGCTTTGCGGATTGTACGGTCCGAGTATCCGTTCATCCTGAGAGCTTGGTGTACGTGCTCCAACTCACTAGCTAGTTGGTGCTGGTCGGAGATGTATTTATATTGTTAGGCGATGATATTGTTCGCGAAAGCCTACGTGTTAAATTGACCTCTGCTCTTTATCCCCTCTGCATTGCCCCATCCATCGCTTCCGATTGACGCCAGTCGATCTCCCCCCGGGCCAGGTTGCGAGTGATCCGGATGGAGACGAACCTCACGGCCGGGGCCCCGAGGGAGGGGCTGATGATCCTCCCTCCGGGGATGATTCTCATGACGGGTCTCCTGCGCGAGCCGGCCAACACGAGGCCCCTGGTGTTCGCGTTCATCTTGCTCACGTACGCGCTCTCTGTGCTGGGCAGCCTGTGCCTCACGCTGGCCATCGCGCGCGAGGCGCAGCTCCGCAAGCCCATGTACGTGTTCTTATGCGGCCTCGCCCTGAACGGCGTCGTGATGACCACGGCGACGCAGCCGCGGATCCTCTACGACCTCGTGTCCGTCAACGTCATCTCGTTCGCCGGCTGCGTCGCGCAAATGTCCGTGCTGCACTTCGCCACCGTCGTCGAGGGCTTCATCCTGGCCGCGATGGCCGTCGATCGCTACCTGGCCATATGCAGGCCTCTCCACTACGGCTCCCTGCTGAACGGCGCGGTCGCGGCGAAGCTCTGCGTGCTGCTGATCGCGCTCGCCGCGCTCTTCGTGTCCGGGGAGGTCATCCTGGGCAGCGTCGTCACATTGTGCACGAAGCCCCGCGTCGTCTCGATGCCGAGCTGCGATTTCATGTCGCTGACGAAGATGAGCTGCGAAGACACCAGCGCCAACGTGGCGTACGGCTACTTCCTCATCGCCGTGCCAGCTGCGGGTTCACTGGGGATAATCGTCCTCTCCTACGTCGGCATTTTGTACGAATGCAAACGGTCCAGCCGTCGAGGTGGGCAGCACAAGGCGATCAGGACCTGCGTCACTCACTTCTGCGTCCTCTGCATCTCCTACGTCTTTGTCATATTCATGGTCTTGCAGCACCGCATAAGCAACTCCGATGCTATTCCCACCGCTGCTCGGTCCATCCTCAGCTCCCTGTATTACATTTTCCCTCCTGCATTGAATCCAATCATTTATGGGCTTCGTACGAGCGAAATCCGACAAAGTCTAAGCAAACTCTTGCATCACAAAGTTATTTCGACTTAGCCAAAAACAATCTGGCACGGCTACAAGGCAGCTGTTATGAATACCTGTTGCATTCGCACTTATCTGGCAGCGCACACAAGTACTAGATTCATTGCGAGCAGGGGCGGTTTCTTCATTAGGGTGATTGGGCGACGCACCACTGTCATTGAACCACAGAGTCGCGCTAGCCGTTACTGCAGCCTCTGGATATAGTCCAATCAGCGTCAAGTCACGTTCTGTGGAGTACCGCCTCTTTTTGGGCGATTTCACTCCAGCTGAGAATCGCCCCGAGTGGCCCCATAGACTTACATTCAAAGATGTTTTTTTTTCGACCGGGGGGCGCTCCAATGCATTCTCTATGGCTTCCGGGAGGGCTTGCACTAACGTGCTTACGTCATCATACGTGCTTACGTCATCATACGTAAGCACGTTTCATCCAACAATATAATTTGTGGCCACCTAGTGGAATCTTTAATAAAATAAACTTGAGTGGTTTGTTTTAATAGTGAGTATAGAAACAAACAAGATGTATTGTAAGAGTTACTTTATTTTTCATTAATATTAAAGAAGTGAAGTTGCCTTTACATGCTTAAGCTGTTAATTTATCCATTGCATGGGTGGACCTTATCCTTATCAATCATCCAGACATTTGCCCCCCCTGAGAGATTTTGCAGGAGCCGCCACTGATTGCGAGGATATTTTAATGATCACAAATTACTTGCCAAAGAGTGAAAGTCGCCTATTACTAATCCTCCCCCCCCCCCCCCGACATAAGTTACAACGTATAGTAGGGTTGACGTTGTATTGTAAACTGCACTCATAAGTGGCTGCCACCTATTAAGCTCTTGAAATAGACGTAAATATAACGTTCAGGTGTTTTCGCTTAGAGGCGCCGCGGTGGCGAGATGTTAACTACCTCGCTTGGTATACAAGAGGTTGTGGGTTCGATCCAGAACCCATCGCCTGTATATTTGGAGTTTGCGTGTCTCTCTCCCTGCGGTCGTGTGGATTTTTCTCCGGGCCCTCCGGGTTTCCCCTCCACATTTAGAAACATGCGCCGAGCTGTTTGGATACTGCTATAGATTTCCATGCGTAAACCAACTTCATTGGGCTATTATATTGTGATAGCCAGATCGCTTTTGAAAAAAAGAGGCTATTATAGCTGAGTGGGCCTTACCTGATAAAATAAAAAATCATTGTATAGTTTAAAATAGTTGAGTTTAATCATGTCATTGAATGGGGACCGCAGAGCTTGGGCAATTGGTGGCGCTGGTGCTGGCTGCCTTCACTGTCTGTGGCTTTCCGCACCTCTGACATCTAAGGAAACTGCGCAGTGGGCCTTACCTGGTTAAAAAAAAACTCAAGTCACCATCTTTGCAATGCCACAACATCTGCGTTAGCTCGGGTGATCCATTCTCCGAATCAACCAATTCCACGCAACATCGGCCACCAGCCCGTGCACCGCATTCATCCACGCATTCCAGCTTGCTTGATCTCGCAAACACCTCCTCACGAAAAAGGACCCCGACTGACAATGGAGAAAATGGCTGCCTTCGATCTTCCACCATAAAGCTCATGTGGCCCACAACTCTGAACTGCCGTCCACTGCACAAACCATAGGCAGCAGCAGGTGGGGATACCCGATAATGCATATATGGAAAATTAAGATTCTCCAGTGTGCAGAAATTGTCAACTCAGAAGAGAACCATGTAATATTTGTACGTACTGGATGTACAGGAGTGTGTGGTATAAAAAAATATATAGAACATTTTTCTCTAATTTATTTACCCGCGATTCGCAACCCCTCGGTCAAAAGCCTTGCGGGGTGGTGCGTCACAAATCAGTTCTCGTGATGTCGAAGCAGTCAGAAAACAAATGTTAATGAGCGGCTGTCCACGAAACTTAAGTCTTGTTGTCGTAGAGCAGGACCCAGCCTGATGACGAATAGCCGCTCCGTGTTCCAAAGGCAGATTTGACTCCTCGTGCCCTAGACTTGGTCGGATGGTTCCTCGATTCATTTCTGGAATCATTATTTGGCGGGCAGTGGCATCGAAAGGTGACCACTCATGGTGGTGTCACACGCTCGAGTGGGAAAAGCAGCTGCAGAATCTGAGGCAACTTCTGATGGAGAGTCTGCAGCTCACTCAATTTAAGACTGATAAACGGATGTGCTAATAATGTTTTAATTTTAGCACTGTTTTATAAGGACCGGTGTGTTATTCTGCATCGGTGTACCGCCACCATGTTCATATAACGGACTCAATGCCCCATTCACAAATACCAAGGAGGAGGCATCATCACAGTGACACACAACTACTCCTGATGCAATTATCTGGCTCAAGCACATCAACGTCAAATTATAGCTACTGCTATACATCAACATTCGCAGACAACCCTGGGCCGATTTTGATGAACAAAATGTGGATTTTGTTGATGCGTTTCTCGATTGTATGTTTTTGTATGCATCGCTATCCCAAGATAAAATGTTATATTTCAATTTGTTAAAGTGTGAAAATGAAGCTCCCCTTCAAAGCTCTGTCAACAGGTGGAATGTGTTGCACATCACGAAGCAAAGGCTTTTTTTTATACTCGGAAGGTGCGATTGAACGATAAATGGGGGCATCAATCATACACTTAAGACTTTACACAATAGGATGGAATCAGCAGTGCAGGGGCGAGAAGGGAAATCCAGACTATGTACGTTGAACGTCTATGCGCATCGTACATAGCCAACCGTGCTAATCGGAGGTGCAGGGGAAGGACAACAAACTAAACACAAAAATCAGTTCTAAAGAAATCAGTTTTCAATCAAGATTTAAAAGTGCAAAGCTCCCAGTGGCTACCTAATATCGGAAGAGCGTTCCAGATGGCCACTGAAGCACATCCAAAATGGCAGCTATGTGGTACCCGTCTTTGTTTGACGGTTAGCCAAAAGCCGTTGCTGCTGTTGCGACAGGGATTATCAGAGATTGCGTGATGGTAATTTATGCTCCATGACGAGATCAGTGAGGTATCGTAGTTCATTTTGGGGCAAGCATATTGTGTGTGTAATGAGTGGAAAAAACTAGGGGGCAGCAGCAGCAGAAAAGGAGCGACCCATTCACCAACAGAGCCGAGCAGGGCGTGTGGCAGAGAACAGGGTGAGATCGTTGATTTTAGGTCAGCATTCAACTTGACTTCTTGCAACCTGTGGAATAAATCCTGCCGAAAGGCAGAATGCTACTCAAATGTGCTGCCAGAGACAGCATCGCCCCAGGTAGACGAGGCAGAGTCCGCACCGACGTCCAGCCACCAAAACCAATTCCATTAGATGCTGGACGATCGCTCATGGTAGGGACAGTCAAAAGAGCCGTGATCGGCGTAATGCTGCATTTGTAGAGGTCGAATTCACGCCGGCCATTGAAACTGAGTAGCGAGGGCCTAACTACATGGGAGAGTGCAGCAAGGGCAGAATTTAATAAAAAGCGGCTGGCGTAGTTGAAGAAAGGTAACAGGAATTCTCTGTGATGAGCCGACGCCGTGAAATTCAAAGGCAAGATCCACACAAGGGCAGTCAAGGACGAGTGACGGGTCCAAATGCCTGGAAGTGCGAAGAATGTCGGTCCTTATGAAAATTAAAAAAGACCCAATTAGAATTAGCAATGAGATGAGAAATTATGTAGGTAGCAACAGTGATCACCGAGATGACGTGGTGGTGGGAGAATGCATCCTGAGGACAGGTCACAAGAGCAGTTTGTTTGAAATATTTTTTGGTTAGATCGCGTAAACATAAATGTGTTGTTAAACCCACCACAACCCGACAGTTACCACACCAGTGTGTTGGAGAGTAAACCCACAACATTTACAATTCGAGTACGAAGTTTCTAGTCATGAATTGGCATGTTTTGTTTACGTGACAAACCTTACTAATTGGCTGTGTCGGGTGGTGGGGGGTTTAACGACACATTTATATTCACGCACTCGAACCAAAAAAACCTCTATTATGGAAAACTGTTTAGTTCCCGACTAATTTGCGAATATTGCAATGACACACGTGGCAATCCCCTCAAAAACCGTTCTAAAATCAAAACTTGAACGGACATTCGTCTTACGACCACTTCGACATCACGAGAACTGATTTTGAAGCACCACAAACCCCGCAATATTTTCTGACCCAAGTTTGCGAATAGCGTAAAAGTAAATAATTAATACATGCTTTTTTTTTACTACACGCACCACCATTGTACCTCCAATACGTTCAATTGCTGAAGCTCCCTGCGGTCCCTGATATATGAAGGTGCGAGGTGGAAACGCTCTATCCCGTACAGACGGGATAGGTAGGAGTCCACATTTTTTGCTGTACCACCGCTCCTCCACCTCGACGCCCACCGGGAAAGGTGTTTGATATCAGTGCAATGATCCACCGAACCTTGCTGCCTCCACAGTGCTGTATAAAAACAGGCCAGGTGTGTAACCGCCGCCACCACCACCACCCGACACCACCACCACCCGACTGAACAGTTTACATTTCCTAAAACAATTTTTATTTTATTTTACCAGGTAAGAAGGCCTACTGAGCTATGTAGCTCTTTTTCAGAAGTGACCTGGCCACAAATGATAGTTCAAAGAAGAGGCTTATCACGTGGAAATTTATGACAGCCAAATACTAGAAAATGTGCGTTGTTGATTATGAATGAGGGAAAAGCCGGACGACCTGGAGGAAAATCCACACCACCATGTGGAGAGACAAGTAAACTCCAATTGTACAGGTGTCAAGGGTTGGGTCTTGCATTGAACCAACGGTTATATAAAAATATTAACCCCAAAAGTAAAATTGTAGGTGATGTAAAAAAGATACTTCTATTTTTTCTAAGGGAGGTTATTTTATTCAGTCCACTTTGATTCGCTGTGCAAGGTATGTAATATACTCTACACACATTGATTGTAAATTTGGAGGGAAAAACCGGAGGACTCGGAGAAAAATCCACGTGACCACGGGAAGAGAGACAAGCAAATTCCAAATATAGAGCAGGGTCGGGATCGAACCCACGACCTCTTGTAAGCAGTCGAGGTAGTTAACATCTCGCCACCATGGCGCCATTTACACAATGGATAAACACACCAAGTTTGCGCATTGCCACAAACACCACTTGGCCGATTCACATGGCTCGCTTGATACGAGTGTCCAAATCACGAGGAGAAAGGCAATGGTGAAGCACACACGCTGGCGGAAACCACCACCACACCACGGAACAATTTGACAAGCTCCACTTTAATATCAAAATGTAAAGGCGGCATTTAAGAAAAAATGCATTGTTGAACTCAAGTGATAACCGCCTCGGTTTTATGTAAAGAAATGATTTAACATCAATCTGGCTTCAACTATTGATCCTGCCATAAGACGCAGATTCATTTACCCAACACGTGGCACGATGGTTCGAGAATCTGTGGATTGACGCCTTTTCACACCCTGCAAAGAGATTCCGCCCCACTGAGAAGTTTCTCGAACTGCAGGCGCTGTCCGTGGCAGGGAGAGTGGAGCCTCCCACGTGAGTGGATCGGGAATCCACGGCTCAGGGCACAGGCAGCGAACCCTCGCCAACAATGGCACGTGCCAGGTTCTGCACGATCGCCATGCGGATGAGATCCTTCTTCTCCTCGTACTCCTCCTGCTCCTGCAGAACAAACCCAGCCCATTATTCTTCCCACCTACTTCCTCCTCTCGTGCATTTGCATGAGGCCTGACGCACTGCACGAGGCCTGACGCATTGAACGAGGCCCAATGCATTGCACGAGGATTGACACATTGCACGAGGACTGACGCATTGCACGAGGCTTGACGCATTGCAAGAGGCCTAATGCATTGCACGAGGCCTGACGCGTTGCAAGAGGCCTCACGTATTGCACAAGGCCTGACACATTGCACGAGGCCTCACACATTGCACCAGGCCTTACGCATTGCACGAGGACTAACACATTGCACGAAGCTTGACGTACTGCACGAGGCCTGATGCATTGCAAGAGCCTTGACGCATTGCAAGAGGCCAAATGCATTGCACGAGGCCTGACGCATTGCACACGATTGATGCATTGCATTAGGTCTGATACATTGTACATGACCTGATGAATTGCACAAGGTCGGATGCATTGCACAAGGTCTGACACATTGCAAAAGATCCGATGGGTTGCATAATGCATCAGGTATGTACTTGAAGACCGATCAGCAACGGGTAATGGTGATATGCATGTTAGACATGTACGTGAGACGCAGTGTCCTCACCTGATCCGTTCCTGCCCATTTTCCCACGGAGCTCCTCTCCACGGCCTCCTCCAAGCAGTCCAGCAGCTGTGAGCTCTGCTCAGCATCAAAAATCACCTGGCGAGAGTGGCGATAAGGACAACAGACAGAGGAGGCCTCAGTATAGAAAGCGCTTGTGAAACCCAAGATCGTCCGCAATCAATCCCACTGCACCAACCAATCAGCTGCCCGGAACCCAACGCCCATGCAAACACGGCCACCATGACGACTTCCTTGCAAGACGAACGCCAATGTCATCGCGCTTTACCTAGTCTGTGGCTGCAGTAAGTATATTCATGTTTTTGTAGAGGAGTATTGTGAGGAACTATGAGGGAGCCAACAGGAGGAGGTGCGAGCGGGCTGACAGCCGAGGGTGACGTCATGTCACGGGTGCTGTAAGCGGGTAACTTTGAGAACAAAGGCGGGTCCGAGCTAGGGGGAGGAATCGCCAAAGGGGTACTTGAGGGGGACCCCGTGATAAAGATGTGGTCGTTGTGGGGAGCCAGGGCAAGGATCCGCTGCAAGAGGTCTCTTCCTTTTCGTCGCCGGGCGATGTTGGCTGAACCCCCGTCCCGGGCAGACGAGTGGGAGAGCCAAGGGGATAGCCGAGAGCTGGGCTCCGAGTAATCAGTAAAGATCGGCTGAGAGAAAGGGTTTCTCTCTCCTCGTCGCTGGGCGGTGTTGGATGAACCCCCTCTCCGGCCAGATGAGTGAGAGAGCCCCAAGGGATAGCCGAGGGTCGGACAACATAGTGTTCGGGAGTCCAGGGTAAGAACCAAGAATAGAGAGCACCTACCCCTGGTGTGAGCTTAAGTGTCAAATGTAATACATTTAATTGTATTTTATACCTACATGACTTTACCAAAACAGCCAAAGAGTATAAATGTAAGTGTTAATAAACGGCAACAGCCCTCATAGTAATTTCCTTCTCCACGTGGTCTTACTTCACAACATTTTAATACTTGTATGTATAATGTTGAGATTCTTTCGCTCCGTACGTAGCCAATGGTGTTAATCGGAGGTGTGGGTGAATAACAAACTAAACGCAAAAAGCTGTTTCAAAGAAATTAATTTCAAATCGTGATTGAAAAATGCATAGCTCCAGTGGCTTCCTAATATCAGAAGGAAAAGCATTCCAGACAGCCGCAGAAGCGCATCCGGAAGCCCATGATGAGGTGACTGTCTTTGTTTGACGGTTAGCCAAAAGCTGCTGCGAGGATGAGCGGAGTTTGAGCGATGGTTTATGCTCCTTGACGAAATCAGTAAGGTATTGTGGTTTATTTGTGGCAAGCACTTTGTGTCAAATGAGTGCGACCTTATAATGTATTCATTCAGCAACCAGAAGCAAATACAGCTTAGCGACCACTGCATAGGCACGGTCGGATTTTAGAGTACCCGTCACGACACGTGCCAAATCATTTTGTACATGCTGCAGCTTGGTAATGTTTTTGCCAAAACGTCCCATGGAGTAGTGAGATGCAATAATCTAGCCTTGTTGACATTATGCTACACACCACCATGTTGGCTATGTCACAACTCAATAGTGGTCGAATATATTGTAGAGCCCTGAAATGAAAAATTGCAGGACCTGACCATATTTAGTTTGTAATGTTCATCACAAATATACAAGTTCAAAGGAGGCACATCAGTATTTAAAAATGCTCCAAACGATGAAATACTGCAGCTAACCAACCTCAAATTGAACTTCAAAAGAAGGAGTATAACCTGCTAGTGAATGCCAAAGTTTAAGCAAATCCGACTGTTAATGAAACACTGAATGGAAAAACCAGTCCAGAATTTGCTTGTGTTGACCCAACACTTGTTAAATTCCACATTCCCTGCAGGTCATGCTGCTGATGAGATGTGTAAAAACTTACTATTTACGTGGAGGGGAAAGCGATGTGATAAAAAATATATAGTGGAGGGAGGGTGATGATGGGGAGGTGGGGTGATGATGGGGAAGTGGGGTGATAAGGGAGGTGGAGGAGGTTGGGGAGGTGGGGGAGGTGGGGGAGGTGGGGAGGAGGGGAGATGAGTGAGGGGGAGGGGAGATGATGGAGGGGGAGGGCAGATGGGCAGGTGAGGGAGGTGGGGAAGTAGAGGAGTTGGGGATGTGGCTGAGTGCATGGGGGAGGAGCTGAGGGGGTGGGGGTAGTAGGGAGGTGGGGTAGGTGGGGAGATGGGGTGGTGGTGAGGTGGAGGAATGGGGGAGGTGGGGTGCTGGGGAGAGGTGGGGGAGATGGGGTGGTGGGGAAGTGGAGGAGATGGGGTCAGCACCCCACCTCCCCACTGGGAGGTAGGGTGCTGGGGGAGATGGAGTGGTGGAGGGGTGGGGGAGGCTGGGTGGTGGGGGAGGTAGAGGAACTGGGGAGGTGGAGGAGCTGGGGAGGTCGGAGATGGGTGAGTGGATGGGGGAGGTGGGGAGGTGGGGAAGGTGGAGAAATGGGGTGGGGGAGTGGTGAGGTCAGGGTGGTGGGGAGGTCGGGGTAATGGTGAGGTGGGGTGCTGGGAGGAGGTCGGGGTGGTGGGGAAGATGGGGTGGGGGAGGTAGTGCTACCTGCTGGTGAGTGAGCAGGGGCACGGCGTCGCCCAGCAGCGTGAGCCAGAAGCCGGTGGGGGCCACTCGAGCGGTCATCAGCGTGAGCAGCAAGCGCGCAGCCTCGGGGAGCCTCCGGTCTCCATAGAGCCGGTGGAACTCACGGTACTTACCTGGGGAAACGTGCACCGGATTTATATTTGGTTGTCTTTGCTCTGATTTCTATTTTAACGTATTGGCGGTACAACGGTGCACGGTATATAGTAAATAAATAATAATAAATCTCAATAATTATTTACTTTCCTTGGGATTTGCAACCCCGTTCAGAAAATCTTAGTGCTGGTGCGTCAAAATCTGTTCTCGTGATGTCAAAGCAGTCGGAAGACAAATGTTTATATGAGTGGCTGAACATGAAGCTTCACAGTCTGTTGCCATAGCGCAGCACCCAGCCTTGATGACAATTGGCTGCTGTGTTCAAAAGGCAGATTTGACTTCTCATGCCCTCGACTTGATCGGCGGTTCCTCGATTCAACAGACCGCCGGGTCATTTTTAACGAATAATCTTTTTTTACAATGTTGTTACTTGTTTATCTGTAATTTAGGGCTCCCTTGTTGCCGACTGGACCCCGATGCGTCACATAATGCTGACACATACCCCCCCCCCCACCCAGTTGCGCCCCTGAAGCCAGCCTTCACAGGTGCTCACTAACAGCACTTGCCCCAACCGTCTGTTAAAGGCCATATACGGTGGTGGATCTTTGTGTCTTCGGCTTGCGTGTCTGTGCACGTCGCCCACCCAGGAAGGTGAGACGGTCGCTCAGCAGGATAGAGGAGCCCAGGCTGTCTATGAGCTCCAAGTCGCAGAAAGCTCCACGAGCGGCGTAACTGTCCAGGAACCTGCAGTGGCACCAATCGACGATCAACCAACAACGATCGACAAATAACGAGCAGACTGACGGTCTCCTTCTCCCACAACCGTCGAATATTCTGGGAAAAATAATACGCGTTCAAAAACACAACCCATCGGCTGGCCAAGGCCTTCTGGGAGTGCATGATTTTTATAAGTATATTATTATTACTTTTTATTATTTACATGTGTAAAAAATATGATTGTTTTTCTATATTTTTGGGGAAAAAATCCAGTTTCCATTTTTGTTGTCCATGACTTTATTTATTATTTCATTATTACTTCTTATTTTATTTTTTTATTGAGGCAATACGCAGGCCCGTTACATCACGTAGTGTCGCATGCGTGAATCGTCAACATGAGCTTAAATCCGGTTATGGAAAGCAGCAGGGGGGGGAGTTAAGAAAGATGGGCAGCAGGCCTCCTGCCCCAAACAAGGTGGTAAGGGGTCTGGGAGTGCATACATTTTCACAGCATTGATTCAGCACGAGCAAAACCCTGGACCAGTGTCGACATACATTGTCTCATCAGCTAGCTTGAATCAATGCTGGTGAACTGCCAGAATGTGATACAGGGGCAGTTTGCTTGCACTGGAATGAATGCTGCTTGAAAGCACTCCTAGAAGATGGTGAGATCCATGCAAGAATTAATTGTAAACTACTACTTTATTATTGTAGCAGGTAAGGCCCCACTGAGCTATAGTAGCTCCTTTTCAGAAGTGACCTATCACAAATGATAGCTCAAAGAAGTGGCTTATCGCATGGAAATTTACAGCAGCCAAATATTCTACACACATGTTGATTCTAAATGTAGAGGGAAAAACCAGAGGACCCGGAGAAAAATCCACACGACTATGAGGAAAGATTTTGACTTAAAGCTTTCGTGACTGTAGGAATTCATATTCTATGGTTCTTTCGATAAAGTCATGTAGATAGAAAATGTAATTAAAATAATAATAAAACTTTTATTGTTTATTTTTTTCTACGTGACTATACCGAGAAAATCATAGAACATGGGGAGAGACACGCAAACTCCATACATAGAGCAGGCGTCAGGGACGGGATCGAAACCACAACCTCATTTATACCAGGCAAGGTAATTAACATCTTGCCACCGTGGCACCCCACTATTTTTCATGTGGAGGAGACATTACTGATAGAATTTATTATTTATGTTCTCCACGAAGAAATTGGAAGATTATTGTGAATGATTAATGATGATGGGCGGTGACGGGGCCCAGCTGTAGCGCGTTCTCCGCTCGGGGAAGATTCACGGTGTATGTCCAGTGGCCACCCCGGAGTGTGGAGGAGCGTCGTGGAGAGTGGTGGAGAGTGGAAAAGCGAGGTGGAGAGTGGTGGGAAATGGTGGAGCATGGTGGATGTTGTATCCTAACCCTTCTTCCATAATTGAGATTAATAATATTTGATGATTTTTATATATTATCTTTTTACTTGTTTTTTTAATGATTGAAACACACCAAGTGCAGCAAACTGCAAAACACCAGGTGTTGTTAAGTAATGAACCGGAGGAGGGCTAGGATGGCAGAATTTGCAACCTTGCTTCAAGGAAAGATAAGGCCTGATGAACGGGCACATGTCACCCGTGCAGGCGGCAGAGACAGTGGGAGTGTCAGCCAGACATAGTTAAGGCAAAAAGCCCAACCATCCTGCATGGTTTTAAAGTAACGTCAAAATTCGAAATTCAACAACAGAGTAGGCTAAAGTATCGATCCTCGCGCTCGCTCAAATTGGAGACCAGGCTGCGAGCTACATCAATGAACCATTGCCATTTGCTAATCCAATACTGAATGTTAATATTACTGAAGTCAAAACGAATTCTATGACCTCAGCACATGGGCAAATAATAGGGCAGTGTCGACTCAAAGGCAATGGAAGAAACAGAGGCGCCTTTGTCTAAATCACAACCACAGAAAGCCAGGAATCATCACTGATTGTGTGTTTAGGGATTCCGAGCTAGTTGGAACACGTGCACACAGGGGGGAGGTAGAAATACGCCTTGTCCTCCTGCAGCTGAGGGAACGAAAACAAGTGGGTCAGCTCAAGGCTGTGTGCATAGGGGAGGGAGCTGATTTAAACAACCCTGCACGTCTGAACGTGAAGGGGCCTTTGACCTGAAAGTAAGAATAACACTCCCAGAGCAGAAGGTTGGATGACCACAGTGAGACGAGAATAAGAGTGGTGTATATCTCTCAAGGAGGCAGACCCAGCTGAATAACAAGGCTGCGGGGGTCACCAGAAGTTCGCATTCGCCTAGTTAAGACAAAAAGCTCAATTATTCTGTATTGCTATTAAAGTAACGTTAAAGTCGGAACTTAACAACAGGGTAGGCTAAAGTTATCGATATTCACACCCACTCCAATTAAACCAGGCCACAAGTTACGCCTACTGAACCATCACCATTATTAAGTCAATATGAAATGTTATTTCCATACTTCAATACTTTCTATACAACTCGACCCGAAGCATATGACAATCAGAACCTTCCTAAGTCAAAATTGAATCGCACCCAGACAGGAGCGAATAGTCAATATAAGGTTGAAGAGGGAAGGAAATCAAGAGCACGGCGAACTGCAAACGTAAGCAAAAAGCCGGGAACAACACCAGCCCAGCAACAGCGAGTGGGGCTTCGACAGGCCATAAAGTAGAATAATAACTCCCGGGGTCAGGGGACACAAGAAGAAGCAGGCAGACAAAAACCAGAACTGACTCCAAGGTTCAACCGCCCTCACCTATTCAGGAGTGACGGAAATTAATGAGGCCTTGAATTAACGGCAGCTGGACGGCAACAACAACGGCGAGCAGAGATAGGGTGGGGCAAAGACTGCGGGCTATGAATGCAACTTCGTGTCAGTAAAGCCCTGACAAACAAGTTAAGTTAAAGACATCACAATACATAATATCGCACATAACATCAATGTTAACGCTATTCACCGTAAACTATATTCCGCTTATATAACCATCCAGGCACCAAGGAATACGAATTCCTAGGATCAAGAAACTTACCCCTTAACCTAAGATATCGGAAATAAATTAATAGTAATAAGTATATGCATGAAAGACAAAAGTAAAACTTATGGAAAAGCCAGGATAACGGGATGAATCACCACCAGGTCGAATATAAATACATAATAAAAAAAACGATGTTAAACCCAGGGTCGGAGAGAAAGGGAGATCCCGGCCGTCTTTGTATCCCCGCAGCGCGGGATAGGAGTGTGTGTACGCTCGGGGAAACACCTACACTTGGGTCGGGCACCACGATGGGAAACGACAGACCTTAGGTTACATACAGAATCATAACTGTGAAATAGTAAGGGACAAATGTTAACTTAAAACTTTTTAACCATTTCTTTGTGCGCCGGGTCGGAGAGAGTGTTGCCCCTCCCTCCAGGTTGTGCAACACGAACAAAGACGCCTATGAGACGATTTGTAACGTCTGTGTTTTGGGTCATGAAGAAGGCCAGACAAGAGATAATATTGCACCCAGACAGAGAGACGACTTCGAGGCAATTTGTAACATCTGATTGTTTGCTCGTGGGTTTTATGGAGGGAGTGTGACAACGAATATACCGTCAGTGATGCACACAAGGACACACGGACATACGGACAGACACATGGACACACCTGCCTACGGACAGATCCTGACACAGCAAAAATCGAAAAGAAGCCCCGCCTTGTGGGCGGGATCCAGGGGGATTTTTCGGCATAAAGTAAAGGATCCTGAGCATTGGAACCAGTGCGACGGGAGGGTCCACTCAGAAGCTCGACCGGGAGGGTCGACTCAGGAACGAGTGTGACGAGAGGGTCCACTCAGGAGCGCGACCGGGGGAGTCGGCTCAGGAGGAGTGCGACCAGTGGGTCCACTCAGGAGTGCGACCAGAGAGTCGACTCAGGAGCGAGGGCGACCAGCGGGTCGACCCAGGAGCGAGCTCGACCGGGAGGGTCGACTCAGGAGCAAGCTGCGACCAGCGGGTCGGCTCGACTCATCTTCAGCTCGTCAATCTCTGCTGCCGCCGGAGATCTCTGCTGCCGCCGGAGTGGTGATCGTTGCGGTTTGGCGACGATCCAGCGCTGCACGCTACGAGCGAGTTGTGGGCGCCACCTACCGACCGGGTTCCGAACTGCGACAGCGTATCAACAGCCATCCGAACCAATTCGCCACGGGATCGACTGATACGTATGACGCGCACCGCCCCCTCACCACACGACCACCAGGCGTCTGTTTGACCTAAAGAATCGACTCCGAACACTGACTATTCAAGACAACTCTTACCACTCAAAAACACTCGAACCCATAAGCCATCCGTGGCTGGAAAGCATCACAACGAGACCGAGTGATGGCCCTCCGTCGTTTATAAGAGTATTCTTAATTTTTATCTTTAATATTTAGTGGGCTGTACTCTTAATCGCATAATTCCCAACAGATCCATCAATACGAACTGATTCTTGGCACCTCCTTCCGCCGAGCCACGCTCACGTGGGGAGTGGTGGCCCACCGGATCCTTATCAGGTGATCTGGTCCCCAATTAGTAAACTTGGTATAAGATAACGAGCTTCGGAAAAGGAGCACCGTCGCAGGCCCTTACTCCGAGCCGTTCTGTTGTCAGATAACCTGCCGATGTATCTGTTGAGATTGGTGCCTTTAAGAATAATAACTGTTTTTGATTGTATTTTTTTTTATCGCCGTATAATCTTTCAAGTATCTTTCAGTCATAATCGCCGCACGTACTCGCATCCTCTACAGAATATTCAACTGTTCCGTGACCCAAGGTGTTAACAACGTGATAAGGGTTGCGTATGATCAATAAGGAGTGCGGTACTGCGTGAACAATATTGAGTATAATCATTCATTAACGTTAAGGTTTTCTTAGCATAGTATTTGCATGTTTTAACGACTCTCTCTCTCACTAACAACCATCGCGTTATGCGGGATCCATGTGCCGTTGTCAAAGTGAAATCAGACAATCGTTGAT